CACGCCGGCGGCGCCCTCTCGGGCCGCGCACACTCGCACACTCGCACGCACACGCTCCTCCCGGCCCCGCCATGTTCCGGGAGGCGGCGGCAGCCCAGCCCCGGGAGCGGCGGCGGGGGGGGGGGGCCCCCCCGAATCCCCCCCCACCCCCGCCCCGCCGGCGGCTCCCCGCCGCGCCGCGGCTTCTCACCGGTCCTGGAGGGGCGGCGGCGGGCGGAGCGGACCCGCGCCGGGGCCACTAACGGCCTGTCACTGTCAGGCCGGCGGCGCCTTGGGCTGGGCCTGGCCTGGCCTGGCGGCACGAGACAGGGTGGGCAGGGCGCGTCCCCTACCTTGCTCTGATGAGGGGAGACGGGAGCAGCGCAGAACTGAGGGGTCTCCTCCCAGGCGCCGGGTACGGGGCTCGAAACCGCGCCCCTCCTTCCTCCTCGCCTGTCGCCACGCCCCCCTCACCCTCACGGACCCAAGGCACTAACGGCGCAGGAGGGTTTACCCCCTGAACGAGTGCCTCGGTGTTGCCGTCGCTGTCGTTGTCTTCGTCGCCGCTGCAACCGCCACGAACGCCGCGGAGGCCGGGCTTGAAAACATCTCCGGTCTCCGTCCGTCTCTCACCACAGCCTCCTCGCTCCCAGGACAGCGCCGCCCGGCGATTGGCTGCGACGTAGGCACGTGACTCCACGGGCACGGGACGGGCGGCGTGACCGCCCCGCCTCCGGCGCCCGCCCGCCCCTTCCGCCAGCCCCTCCCCGCTACCCCGCCGCTCTTTCAGTTCTACGGAGAAGCTTCCCGAGCCGCGGGGCGGGGGCAGTCGGAAGGTACCAAGTGGGAGGCGGCGGGGGTGTAGGCCGGAACTCCTCTACGTGCTCGTACCTCCTTCCACCTCACCCAGGTGATACCGTCTTCCTCCGCCGTCACCGGCCCGAAAAGAGAGGGGAAAATCTGGGGGTGAGCTAGAAAGCAGACTAGGCTCCGCTGACGCTGCCAGGACGACGGGTTCTGCGGTCGCTTTTTGTGGCGACCATGGCAGTGGATGTGACTGGAAACTTCTGGAAATGGCGGCGGCGGCGAAGAGGCTGGACATGGAGTATTCACATACTCTGTTATTTTTGCAGATCGGGTGGGAGAGTTTGTGAGGTCGAACCCAGGAAGATAGGTCTAAAGGCAGAGGCGGGGAGTCAGCCCCCTAAACTCCTAGCTGCGAACGGCCAGCCCCAACGTGTTCGGAGACGCGGGGCGCGGCTGGGCGCCCACGTCCACGCCGCAGTGCGCTTGCGCGCCGGCTGGGCAGCACCTGCGTCGGAGCCCGCGGGACGGGGACGCCAGCCGGAGTTCGGCCGGGCAGCGACGCGCCCGCCCTCACCTGCGCCAGCTGGGGCCCCAGTGCCAGTTTTGAAAGCACCTTAATGTGCACCTGCAGCGGGGATATGGCGAACCCCAGGATATACTCTCTCCCATTCACACTTTCGAGTAACCATTTTAGAGAAACAAGTACCTTTCTCCATATCTGAGATAGTATTTGAGGGGGAACTAGTCAGATACTGGAGTAGAGTGCGTGAGGAAATTTTACGGTCTTGGCTTACCAGCAGCGGGAACTTCGGATGCTTTTTATTTACATCGAGGTTAGTCTGCGACGGTTCGTACATGCCTCTGTTTAACCACCAAGGGGGTTACATAATCAGAGGGAAACCATTTTATTGACTAAACTTCTGGACGCTTTTTATTTACATCGAGGCTAATCTGCGACAGTTTAGGAATGCCTTTAACCACTAAAGGGGGTTTACGCGTTGGACGGAAACCACCTTCCTCATTGTTAATATTGGCCTTGCCATAGTAAGCTGTCATTTACAACTACAGCACGTATTTGTGACTTAATGGAGTTACAGGTTTATGTCACTAATCACAGTTTTGACACTTTACACTTGACACAACATTAAATCTCAACAAATTATATAAAGCATAAACTTGCACTTTTCCCTTCCTAGGTTCCTGATTTCTCCCACCTATAAAACATTAGGTTCAATATGAATAGTAAAAGAGCACTTTATGGCTGTAGGTGGAATACTGTTACCTTTAATATGCGTTATTTACGGCATGAAATAGAGATCCACTAAAAATTTCACCAACTCTGCCATCTCTTCAAGTCCTTGAGTTCTCATTTTACTGTCAAATAAAGTCCATTAGTATTGATGGTAATGGCAATTGCTATTTCTATAGCAGTTTCTATAGTGCCTCACTTCAGAATTGAAACGTAGCTAATCTTTAATTTGCTCAAGCAAATTAACCATAATTTGTGGCAACTACACGTACAACCTTATTAAAATCACTGAATATATGAAAGATTCATAAGGCATTGGCTACACTCGGTGGGACACTACCTGTAGAAGAGCTCATTGTAGAATTCAGCTGCAAAAACATTTCTTAATGAAGCCCCTATTTATACGTGGTAAATGACATATTAGCTATAACTTAATTTTCCTCTTCAGTGTGAAACTAGAAATGTAAATCAAGACATAATCATTATAGATATTACGGATAATGGTCTCAAGAAAAGTCTGAAGAAAACCATATCTACAAGCTAGTAGGTTAGTAAGCTGCTAATTAAGACTTTTAATTGTATATCCCTGTCTTTTGTTGGCTCAAGTCCTGGAATCCATCTTCATCAAATGGGTAAAATACCTATTTTCAGAATAGGACCAAACAGTCAAGGACTGCAAGCATTAAACCTCAGTCTTAGCCAAAGTTAAGCAGGCACTTAAAGTGTGCATACAATTGACTTTTTTTTTTTTTAAGTTTATTTGACAGAGAGAGAGAGAGACACACCCCACGCGTGGGGAAGGGGCAGAGGGACTGTCAACACGGAGCCTGCTGGGGGGCCCAACCCACCAAACCAAATCGTGAGATCATGAACCAAGAGTCAGATGCTTAACCCACTGAGCCACCCAGGCTCTCCACAGTTGACTCTCGAACAACATGGGTTTGAACTGCATGGGTCTACTCATATGGAACTTTTTTTGAGAAGTTCCATATTAAAATGTATTTTATTTTTAACCTTTTCTGTAACTTTATAATACAGTATATATAATACATATAACATAGAAAATATGTGTTAATCAACTATGTTACCACTCAACAGTAGGCTATTAAGTTTTGGGGGAGTCAAAAGTTACATGAGGATTTTCAATTTGGAGAGAGGTGGGTTGGTGCTCCAACTTCCTTCCACTCCCTCGCACTGTTCAAGAGTCAACTGTATTTGGTATCTGTGTCAGAAGCCATTCTGCAAAATTTACCTTCCCACCAACGTACTTAGTTCTTCACAACTTTAGAATCAACTATCTTTATGTTTTGCTACAATACATCCAGATATATCAGATCATTCAAAAACTCCTGCCGTATTTTAGGAAGATAAATGTAATAGAAGTATAATCTCAGATCATAGCTTATCATATGACTTAGTCTATATGTAATACCTTTGCAGTGAAAACTCTTACATAACTGTTATTATGTGCTGTAGGATTTTCTGGAGCAGTGACCCCATCCAGTTACAGCAAGTAATTCTGAGCAATCAGTAGCTTTCACTACCAACTTTTAGTAGTTGCTACAAAAAAACTGGTACTAGATCCTTTGTCATTAGGGAAAATGATACATTGATTTATTTTTATTATTAAACAATAGTAAGATTTCCTCCTCAAATACCCTTTTTAAAAAAAAGCAGAGCTAGGAACTGAGAAGAGGAAATGAGGGAGCAAGTGATAGTAAACACACAAATGATGCCTAACTCTCCCTACAGGTTTGAGAAATAGACCAGGATACAGCAGTCATCTCTGAAAACTGGCAAGGAAATTTTAATCAGTGTGTTCATATACATTTTGAAACCATGTTGGATTACTGTAATAAAATTTTACCTGGCAGGTGTTTTTTTTTTTTAATTTTTTTTTCAACGTTTATTTATTTTTGGGACAGAGAGAGACAGAGCATGAACGGGGGAGGGGCAGAGAGAGAGGGAGACACAGAATCGGAAACAGGCTCCAGGCTCTGAGCCATCAGCCCAGAGCCTGACGCGGGGCTCGAACTCCCAGACCGCGATATCGTGACCTGGCTGAAGTCGGACGCTTAAACGACTGCGCCACCCAGGCGCCCCGGGCAGGTGTTTTTAAAAGCTAATCAGGAAACTATCATTTAAACCGGTATTCTTATATTAAAATTGATACAATTTTTAAGAGAAATAGGCAAAAAGATTAAGCAAGACTCAAAATCCTAATATATACTGATACAATACAATGTAACTGATGATGTAAGAACTACAGAATATGTTTTGACAATGGTATAATATTATGTAATTATAATGACTGAAAGTTAATTTTCTAGTTCTAAAATATTACATAAAAATTGATAATCAGTGCATATCCTTAATATGTCTTTGTTTTTTCACCCAGTATCTGAAGCTTCCCCACTCCTAACTTTTTTCCGAGTAAAAACAAAACAAAACAAAAAATGTCAACATAGAAGGCATTTTTACAAAAGTCAGTAGAAAATCAAGAGGATAGAAGAGAGGTATTTTCATTGTGTTACCTTTCTATGCCATTTGTGTAACTACTGTTATTGTTTACCCTCTCAGGTAAAAATAAAAACAAATTTTTAAAGATCTTCTTGAAAATAATGATATTTTTAAGCATCATAATTACTATTAGTGACTGATTAATCTGTCATAAGAGCAGCCAAACAATGACTTTGAGAAATTCTGAAACAAGCTATAAACATTTTTTTTCAACTTGCAACTAATGTACAATAGCTAGTTTCTTGAACTGGATATAATAATACACAAAAGGTTTTATCCTTTGTTCTACGTTGAAATATGCATTCAACCAGAGTCTATTTTGTTTATTGACTGCTCTTTCCAACTCAGACTGTATGTGCAGTATACAATAATATCAAAGTATTTTCTACCTTCCTTTTATAAAAATGATAAACAGTACTTCTAGAGACAACTACTTTATCCTCCTTACACCTACAGTCTGCTTGAGGTGTCACTTACCAGTTGGAAATACAGTAAAAACTGTATGCTGTAAATATAAAAATGTTTTCTGTAGAACAACCATTTTAAAACTTGGCTATAGCTAAAGATGGAAAAGCAAAATATATGTGAAATTCACAATAACCTAATATTATTGATAAAAGTGACCTGGCATTTGAAAATGGAAATACTGGAATGACTGTTAACTAGATTATGAGATACTGTCTTCAGAGTTAGCCATAGATAGCAAAAGACTTTAAAATGGTACTATTAACATGACACTCATAGCAGCTAGTTGCTAGGTATACACCATGAAATGAACAAATAATATAAAAAGTTTATGTAGATAGAAGATTCATGTTTTATTCCTCCTGGAACATATTTACAGTTGAATATAAATTAAAGTCCTGCTTGCACACCAAAGCCAGGTCCTTTGGGTGGTTCAGTCAAAGAGGTAAGACCTCCAGCTGGCTCACAAGAGAAGCGTCCACTCCTGAAAAGAAAAGTAACATTAACTTGACTATTAATAACTACCATTTATAAATCTTTACTTAAGAAAATAACTGTTACCTTACAAAGCCCAGTTAGGTAACTATTTTTCACCCAAGAATTAGCATGGATTATTTAATTCAAACATTTCAACTGCTACAAGATTTTCTAAACTTAAGTATGAAAATGGACATATCCAAAACTCACCATAAATATGAAAGATATAAAAGTAACACGTTACTAGTAGTTCCCATTTATTGAAGAGCATACATATATTATTAGCTCATTTAATCTTTATTTTTTATTTAAAAAAAAAATTTTTTTTTCAACGTTTATTTATTTTTGGGACAGAGAGAGACAGAGCATGAACGGGCGAGGGGCAGAGAGAGAGGGAGACACAGAATCGGAAACAGGCTCCAGGCTCTGAGCCATCAGCCCAGAGCCCGACGCGGGGCTCGAACTCACGGACTGTGAGATCGTGACCTGGTTGAAGTCGGACGCTTAACCGACTGCGCCACCCAGGCGCCCCTCATTTAATCTTTAGAACAATGCCATGAATCAAATGATACTGGCCTTATTTTACAGATATAGAAACCAAGGCTTACAGGAGATCAGCATCTGCCCAAGGATCAGAGCTAAGAACTGCAACATAACAAACCCAGAGGACATTTTATTCTTTTTATATTTGAATTTTATTTAAACTGAATTTTATTTTAAATTGAGATCTACCATAGTGAACAGAAGGGAAAACAAATTTATACATATGTTTGGAAGTCAACAGAGGAATTGGAAGGAAATGGGAATCTGAAGATTTAGGAGGGTATCCTTTAGGGGCAGTGAAAACAAAGTATATCTATTCATGTTTTTAAAAGCTCTATCAGTAGTAGTAACTTTTCAAAAACAGGTTCCAGACTAGGGTGGCTACCACAGCCACAAAGAAAACAAGAACAGGTCCTTAATGCAGCACAGAGGTAGAAGAACCTGTCTTTTTTTCACCCCCACACATACTTTCCCAAGTAATCACTCAACTCTGCCCCTGTCTGACCTCCACTGCTAGAGCCCAGCTCAGCACCTCCTCCTACTTCACCCTTCCTATTCCCTAGCTTTGTCAATTTACCTTGTTCCTGCCATATATTTTATCTTAAGAACTGTTCAATTTATATCTTTTTACTCCTTGCTTTGCCCTTTAAATTCTGTCATCAATCTTACAGGGGTCTTTTTACAGCCACAGGAAATTATTTTTTGTTCAGGGGACAGGACAATGACACCACGTTAATAATGTTATGATCTTTTAAGATATTACATTACACAGTGCAAGTAACTAAGTAGTATATTGTAGTGAAGAGTGCCTACAAAGTCAGAAATTAAGTATTATTTGCATTACAAGTTCACTGTGAAAATGAGATTAAAAAACAGTCACTATTGGGTCGTGTGAGTGGCTCAGTCAGTTAAGTGTTCAATTCTTGATTTAGGCTCAGGTCATAATCTCACAGTTCATGAGATCGGGCCCCATGTTGGTCTCTCTGCTGACAGTGCACAGAACCAGCTTGGGATTCTCTCTCTCCCTCTCCCTCTGCCCTTCCCCCACTCGTGCCTCTCTCTCAAAATAAATAAACGTAAAAACAAAACGTCACTGTGAACTGACAGAACCTAAAACTAATGTAGGGTAAGTGGCAAAATGAGATCAAACTTTAATAAAAAACAGTATTTGGCTTTGTAAATTTTTTACGTTAACTAGTAACACAGGTATACCTGCTGCTCTTTAACTGCCAATGAAATAATTATTCTGGAAAACTTTCTTCCCTTTACTAAGTCCCCTCTACGGTTTAAGCTCATCTACCTTCTTTACCAACACAAAGGACCAATTAGGACGATTATAAAAACTGAGGTTTTTGAGAACAATAAATGAGAGAATTAATCATGCACACTGTCTGAACTCTTCAAGAAATTATGGATTTTTATATAAGAAAGTAATTTCAAGAGTAATCTGGTCCATTTTCCTGGTTGTTCCGTAAATTATAGTCCTATGACATACTTAAGGGGGAGAAAAGGTTTCAATGGTCTGTTATACCTGCCAACTTTCTCCTTCCCTCACCCTTCACAAAATGCACAAAAAATACGCTATAAAGGCTGTTACAACCTCTGGTAAAGCCCACAAATTGTCTTTAATCTACTAATCTCATCTCTCCCCTCATTTTATCTGTAAATATGCCTCAGAACACCAGACAGGCAGCAATCTAGCCCTTCCATTCACGATTTACACTTAAGATATCTTTAGGGCTTTCACTTCATAAAAAACATCTGCTTTATGCATTATACTTAAAATGCCATCTATTAATTACTTTGTTCTCATTACAACTTAAAAGGTAAATCTGGTTTTTCAGCCATCCCAACACGATTTGTAATTCATCATTTTAAACTCATTTATCTTCTAGAAAACTTGACCTTTCTGTACATTGTTTATGGCTTAAAAGTACTTTTTAGGGGCTCCTGGATGGCTCAGCTGCTTTAGTGTCCGACTTCACCTCAAGTTGTGGGTTTGAGCCCCACATCAGGCTCTCTGCTGTCAGCCTGGGACCTGCTTTGGATCCTCTGTCTCCCTTTCTCTCTGCCCCTCCCCCGCTTGTGCTCTCTCTCTCAAAAATAAACATTTTTTTTAAAAAGGTACTTTTTAAAGAAAAGGTACTTAATGAAAGTTTAATGCTTATCTTTTTTTTTTTTTTTAACGTTTATTTATTTTTTTTTGGGACAGAGAGAGACAGAGCATGAACGGGGGAGGGGCAGAGAGAGAGGGAGACACAGAATCAGAAACAGGCTCCAGGCTCTGAGCCATCAGCCCAGAGCCCGATGCGGGGCTCGAACTCACGGACCGCGAGATCGTGACCTGGCTGAAGTCGGACGCTTAACCAACTGCTCCACCCAGGCGCCCCAATGCTTATCTTTTTAATAATGCTGAGATATATCCACCAATGCCCACTACTTTTGGTATAAAACAACAAAAATGGGGGCACCTGGGTGGCTCAGTTAGTTAAGCGTCCAACTTCAGCTCAGGTCATGATCTCACAGTCCGTGAGTTCGGGCCCCAAGTCAGGCTCTGTGCTGACAGCTCAGAACCTGGAGCCTGCTTCGGGATTCTGTGTCTCCCTCTCTCTCTGCCCCTCCCCACTCATGCTCTGTCTCTTTCTGTCTCAAAAATAAATAAAAACATTAAAAACATTTTTTTTAAAACAACAAAAATGACTTTACATTCTAGACTTATCCGTCAGCAATGACCTATGCTTTTTTATATATGCATTGTAGCCTACCTATATATTTTTACATCTCATAATATCTGCATCCCATAGAATTCTGCAAATTTTAAGATATCTTTAGAAAACTATGAAGAATTCAAATTGGACTTAAAATTAATTTTATTAAATTTTTTTTTTAATGTTTATTTATTTTTGAGAGAGAGAGAGAGAGAGACAGACAGACAGAGCTCAAGAGGGGAAGGGCCAGAGAAAGAGGGAGAAACAGAATCTGAAGTAGGCTCCAGGCTCCAAGCTGTCAGCACAGAGCCCGATCGATGCGGGGTTCGAACTCACAAACTGCGAGATCATAACCTGAGCTGAAGTCGGATGCTTAACTGACTGAGCCACCCAGGCGCCCTGGATTTAAAATTAATTTTAGCTAACCCATACCAAAAAACAACTTCTCTTAATTAGTAATTTTTTTTCTATTTTTTAAAATTTTTTATTTATTTTTGATAGAGAGAGAAACAGAGTGCAAGTGGAGGAGGGGCGGGGGGGGGGGGCACAAGATGTGGAGCAGGCTCGTCTCTTGAGCTGTCTGCACAGAGCCCCAACGCAGGGCTCGAACTCACAGACTGTGAAACCATGACCTGAACCGAAGTCGAATGCTTAATCAATTGAGCCACCTGGCACCCCATCTTAATTAGTAATTAATAATTGAGAGCAGGTTTAGAAGTTATTTTCAGTAAAGAAAAATGAAAATAACAGAGCACGTGGGTGGCATCCGACCTCATCTCAGGTCATGATCTCGCGGTTTGTGGGTGCAAGCCCTGCGTTGGGCTCTATGCTGACAGCTCAGAGTCTGGAGCCTGCTTCAGATCCTATGTCTCCCTCTCTCTCTGCCCCTCCCTG